ATTATTAGGTCAATTAAATTGTTATTAGGTTACATTTTTATTTTCTATATGTTTTTATAATTGTTTAAAATTATATTTTATGATTGTTGAGTAATATTCATATACGTATACATTGTAAGTCTAATATTGATATTTTGCAACTAACAACAAATTGACTACTTTATATAAGAATTATTTAGCTTTTTTTATAGTAGTAATGAATAAAAATTTTTGAGTACAATAAAAACTCAGATTTCTTAATTGAGTTTTTAGAACTTAATTAAATTTGTAAAATTGAAACACATTTGGTTTACTTTAATGAAATGATTGAGATCAATTCAACAAATTTTCAGAAAGCTTTTTAAATTAAATTTTAATTTAATTTTAAACAGTTCTTAATAAAAAATCTAAAATGAAACTTTTGCACAAACAACAATAAAATATGAAAGATTAGATTCATAGAAGAACCTTACCAAAAACTTAAAAAAATACAAAACCATATCGAATCTCGAAAAAATGAATTAAAAAATTACCAAAAATTTGTTAGATCAGATACAGAGTCAAAGTTTACTAATAAAAAGAATAATGATTTAATTAAACTTGTAGCAAACAATGAAGAAAAAATAGAAATATTAAAAGAAAAAATAAAATTTATTTTTGAACACTTAACAAAAGCTTTTAGAGTTGAGACATATTTTACTTCATTGACGGAAGCAAGTTATAAGACCAAAATATTAGTACTAGAGAAAAAAATTAAAGGATTAAAAATTATGAAGAATTACAAAATATATTTGATACATTAATCGACGAAAATAAAAGATTGAAAACCATAAAATTTTAATATTTTATAAAAATAAATGAGTTAAATAATAAATTATCTAAGCAAAATAATCCAAAATTCTTTTCAAAATCTGAAGATGATAATATACTTCAAAAGAAAAATAAACTATTTAATATACATATAAGGAAGTTTATTGAGGTTCTTAATTACAAAACATTACATACAGGACCTTTAATTGAACAGAAGAATAAAAAAAAATTGGAATTGGCGATGAGAACTGAGCTTAAAATAACAGAAATCATAAATAATTTTGAGAAACAGAAAAAAATATTAGAAAAAGATCATAATGATACTTGGTTAATGAGAGAGATAAAATTTGTATATAAAAAAAAAAGTAATTTAATCCGAATTGCAACTAATTATGAAGAAGAATTAGAATTATTAAACGAAGAACTAAAATATGTTATTGATACATTAAGGAAAGATATTGAAGATAAAATGAATTTGGATTTGGAAAAAAAAAAAAATTTTAAATCCAAAAAATTAAATCTAGAGAAACAAATTAATAAGCTAAAAAAAAACGATGATTTCAAAATGTTGAGAAAAATAATAGATGAATTAATTGAAGAAAATAAAAAGTTAAGAAGTTCAAATCATAAAAATGTTGGCAACATAACAGCTCTAAACCAACATATACAAATTTATTCAACAAATTTTAAAAAATGAAAGCTTTACAAAAAAAACTTTCATATGACGAAAGCCTAAGAGAAAGCCAGAAAAGTATTAAAAATCTTAAATTATCAATCAAAAACTTCCAAAGCACTTCTAAAAGTGCTTCTAAAAGATGATAACATGTAATTTATGAGAATTTCTTAAAGTAACTAAACAACTGTTCAAATCAAATTAATAGTATGGTTCAGTAAATATGAAAAAGTTGCATAATTTCATTACTTGTTTTCCTTTGATTCAATTTTAAAGTCCAGGTTTAAAATTTTGATGTTACATTCTTATTAAGATAATAATTTATTGTATAACCATGAAATAATGCTCATGAGCTTTATTTTAATTTAGTATATATATCACTTCAAGAAATTCATTTCAATTCATAGACAAGTTTGTTTTAAAGACAATTAATTCACAGTGATTGGATTTAAGTAGTTTTGGCCATGTTAGAATCATCCTATCAAGATCATTTTGGTAATTAAATTATCCAACACAGAGTTATTCTTTTAAAGATTGTTCATAAAATGAACCGTTGTAAAATGAGCTGTCTATGAATTGTACTGTTTGTAAATTAATTTTATTTAAGATAAATCTGTTTAGTTTATTTATATGTTCTGTAAGTTATAGTTATATAGTTCTAGTAAAAAATGAATTTTGCCTTAGCTTTTTGTGAAAATAACTTATTCGCACAGATATGAAAAACATGTGATTTTCATATATACCTGTGTGAATAAGCTTTCAAAAAAAGCATGGCTTGTTACATAAGACCCATACGATAATTCACAGTTCGAATCTCTATCTAAAAAGTAATTTTCTGCAATATAATATGTTTCCTTTAATTTAATGTTAATTACAATAGCATAGTAATTCTTGTATTCAGAAAATTTCCTTTTTTATTTCAAAATATCGTGCATATGCGTCTCGAAATAATGACAGCTAAATAAATTAATAGGTTGAGTGCATTATTAAAATTATCGTTATTGCTTTTGTATGTGTTCCATTTTAGACTTTTGACTTTTTTATATGATATCGTAAAAAATACTAAATCTTTGAAGCAATATATATGTTCTGAGTCATTTCACAATTTAGATTAATTCCAAATTGATCTAGGTTATTTTTGAACTTTGAAATGACCTAGGTCATTTCTCAATCGGTGAATTTTTTAAAAATTTAAAATTATATGCCTAAGCGATAAATTATATAACCCAAGCAATAATATTAATTATATTATTAAAGTTCATTTACATACTTTTACATAAAGAAATCAAAACTTATAAAATTCTTTATAATAAAATTTATCTTTATTAAAAAAAGCTCTAATGCTTTAAAAAAAACTGTATAAATAAAAAATGTGCAATACAAATAATAAAAAATTCACATAATTAATAAAAAATGTGCAATAAAATAAATAAAAATAAAACACAATAAAAAAATGCACGTTAAAGCATAAAAAGTTTTCAACAAGACAAACTTGTTTCCTCAGGTCATTTAACATATAAAGTTCTTCAGTTGCACTAACATAAATAATTTTAAAATTATGTTGCCCAATATTTAAATTTTGGGTTATATAAGTCGTTAAGATTTTAATTAAATATTGATTATATTTATTTTGATCTATTAGATAGGATTGTTTTTACTTTAATGAATAAAAACTTTTTAATATTCGATCAAAGGTTTCACATATCAAAAGGTCATAACTTTCTATTTTAAAAATTAATAAGAAAAAAAGGTATATTTATCATTTTTTTTTGTATTAATTAATTTGACATACGTAATAATTCTGGGTTCTAAATTTCTATTAAGTTTTGGGATCGAGTAATGGCCCATTAGATGTGACAAATAAATGCTGACTAATTTATTTATATAAATGAATTAGTTGTTGCTTATTTGTCACATAGATAATTGTTCACACCTGATTCTTAAATTATGTGGTAATGCACCACCATAGGTGTGACAAATAATTGTGTAACAAATAAGTACTAACAAATTTATATATATAATAAAGTAGTTAATAAATATTTGTTACTCAATAATTTGTCACTCTCAGATCCTTAAATTTCGTAACATTTCATTTTTGAATCAGTGAAAATTTATGAATAACCTTGGTCAATTTAGAATCGACCTAAATTGTGAAATGACTCAGAACATATACATATCTTAAAAAATTATTATACCATTTTAAAAAATAAAGCAACTAAGTTGTAGTAAATTACTTAGTTTCAAATATCTTTTTTTTTAGATTAAAAGTTATTCATTTTAAAGTTTGCGTGGTCTTTAAGTGTGTGCACTGAAGTTATATTAATTTCAAATCGAACTTGATAGGATAATGATCCGAGACACACATT